TCAGAAAGTTATATAATACTCTGTAGAAAGGAAAAAGTACAGTGTATTGCTTTTATACTAAGCTTTGTTCACTTTAAAATTTTTCAAATGCCTACAGTTGGGTATATATAAAAAGCATTTGAACTTATGGATAGATATATTATAAATTTGTATAAGTATATATTCTTATTTCAGATTTTGTTACAAATGGAATAGGACTCCTGAAATCGATAAATTATGTTTGAGCTAGTAAAGTTGAAGTCCAGTTGAAGTGGAAGAATAAATTGCATATATAAATTCTTGGTGTATTGTAACCTACAGTTAACACCTTAAAAATCAAAAGATCCCAAAGAACAGGAATCTTAAAAATGTTTATGCTTTGACCCAGTAATTCTATTTCTAGGAACTGATTCTGAGGAAATATGGTAGAAGCCTGCTTAACCAACTCCAGACTAACTGATGGGCTCCATTCTGCTTGTAAATATACTGAATGATGCCACTGGTTTCCTTCTTGTTTGGTGTGGTCCCACACTCTGCTTCAGCCAGTTGAGTGAGCCTTGTCAGTGCCCTCCAGCCACAGACCACTAGGAACGCAGCTGTAGTCCAACAAGCTGGATTTATTACTTGGAGGGAGGGAGAACACACACCATGGGAAACTGTGGGTGTCTCAGTAAGAGTGTTGGAAAGGACTTTTTATAGGATTTGGGCTTGTATTTTGATTTGGGGAGGATTTAAGGAAGAAGGGATTTGCTCTGGATTGGGTGTTGTTAGGATGTGGATGATCCTTTGGGTGTCTTAGTAAATCTTACCTAGGAAGAGGGCTGCCTGGAGTGAGACTAAAGCTGTACCTGTGGAGAAGCAGCAGTCACTCATGTCACCAGGAGAGGGGGATGTTTGGTATTTTGTAGGTTGCACAGGGACCTTGTTTTTTTGTCCATGCTCAGACAAAATTTTGAAGTGTTCTTGTTTTGTCTCACTTTTTCATGGTCTCAGAGTGACCTTGTCTGATGTTGATGTTTTATGAGATTGTTGTGTCCGACAGAAGAATAGCATGGCCTAGCTGTGTGCCCCAGGCCAGCTTCAGACATCACCAAGGCCTCTGTAAGAGTCAGGCAGTTTCCAGATGTCAGGTGCTGCTTTTTCCTTCCTCAGACTAGTGCTAAGAATCAGGCTAAGGGGGGAGGGTATAGCTCAAGCAGTGGAGTGCATGTTTAGCATGCACGAGGTCCTGGGTTCAATCCCCAGTACCTCCTCTAAAAATAAATAAACCTAATTATCTACTCCCCAACCAAAAAAAAAAAGGAAAGAAAAGAAAATGTATTTTAAAAAAATCAGTCTAAACCTCCTTATATCCATTTTAATTGTATAATTGTGATTATAACTTCTTGTCATTATATCATTTAATTAAATAGTATATAAAACACTGAAATTACTGTAGTAAGAAAGAATTATTTGGAAACTAAGTTAAACATCTTTGGAAAGACTTATTAAGATTAACTGCTAAAAGCATTTTATAAATGGCTATTGAATTAGGTATGGGTAAAAGGCAAAATAAGTAGGCCATTAGAATACATTTTTACTAGAAGTATTCGCTTGCTGATGGCTTTACAAGTATCTTCTGGTTCCTACTCCTCTTTAAAGAAATCTACTTGTAAATGGCAAATGATATACCGTATGTGTGATTTATATAGTAAAGATGACATGGAATTATTTTTTTTGTTGTTTTTTAACAGCATTTTTATATAGAATGATTTGAATTGGTATGCAGGCAACTTCTCTAGTAGTCACATACCTGTAATTTAGGGAAAATTACACCCATTGTACAGAAGAATCCCGGTAATATATACTTAATAAGCTCAAAGGACATGGAACTCTTATCACTGGAGCCACACTCAGAGACAAGGCCTTGGCCTTCTAACACAAAGTTAGTGAATTAATAGCTTTGATATATTTGAAGTTAAAAAAAAAGTTTGAGGTCATGTATAAATTCTTCTTTATGATTCCTCACTTAAAGCAACATTTTAAATTAACCTACAACCACAGTCCTGATTGTGTCAGGTAAGATGCTTTTATTATGCAAAAAAAAATCATGTAAAGATTTAGGTATAAAGTAGTTCATTTTAACTTTATAATAGTAAAAAAAATAGAAACAATCTAAATGTTTATTAACAAGAGTAATGAAATTATAGTATATTCAAAAGATAGAATAGCATAGAGTTACTAAAAGTCATGTTTTCAGCTATCATCTTTTAACAAGAAAAATGTTCATATAATGTGCTACAATATAGAGCTAGGCTACAAAACCCAATAAACTATGGCTAGAATTTTAATAATGTATATATCAAAATTTAATATGCAAAGTGTACATACACAATTGGAAGGAAATGAACCAAAAAATGGACAGTTTACCCCAGATGCCAAAGTTTCAGAAGTTCTTTTTTATTGTATTCTCTGTGCTTTTATATACTTTCTATATTGAGCATGTATTTTTTTTTAATGAGGGGGAAATGCTTTTTAAGAAAAGAAGCCCAAGATGGGCAGTTTTAGAAACATACCTGTGTTCATATCAGTGTGGCTCTTTGCTCAGTGTGTTTCACTCTATGTCTGAAGCTCCATGTTAGAGAAGCTGTAATGTTCCTGAATGAGAAGAAAAGCAAATGCATGATTTATTTAGTGAGGGGCTCCTGGGGATTTGACAGGCTGATATTTCCAACTTCCACGGCCTAGCATAGATACCATCTGTGAATTAAGTTTTTGCTGATTGCACCAACCTCCACCCCCAGGCAAAAGCCCCATGTTTCTATTTTAGTGTTCACCACACTTGAAAAAAAAAACAGTGCATATATCTTTCTGTTCCACTGGCCATACTACATTGCATGTTTCTTGGAAGGAAGAAGGGAACAGCCACCTTCGTATTCTTAGTCCCTAGAGAGACCTTTGCTCCTTGGTAGTTGGCTAAATGTCTTTAATAAATGTACAGTAGTTCCCCCACAATATAGAGATTTCCTGAAAGAATATTTAAGGTGTTTGTCTTAAACTATCAGAGTTGAGAGTTAAAAAAAAAAAAGAAGCTGTCAATGGCCCACACTAAAACCACAGCAGCCTTTGAAGAACATCAGTGACGGTAAAGCAGCCTGTCAGCAGCAGGCCTTACATTTCTTCTGAGGACTGTAGACTGTTTTCACATTAGAACCATGTGTGGGCATATAAATTGATGTAGCCCTTTGGGAAGGGCAGTTGGGCAATATCTGTCAGATTGAAAATGCACATCACCTTTGCACTTCTAGGAATTTACTCTCCAAATATACTTGCACAAAACAGGCAAACATACATGGACAAAGAGCCTTATTGGAGAACTGTTGGCAATATATTTTTCAGTATGGGAGTGACTAGAATATTATGAAGCTATTGCAGATGAGGTAGATCAGTATGTATTTACGATGATGATGATGATTGTCCTTTATTAAATACATGTTATATGCCAGGCACTGTGCCAGGTGTTTGACATATTTTATCTAATAATTCTTATAACAACTATATGGCAGAAACTATGATTATCTACATTTTGCAGATGAGGAAACTTGCACAGGTTCACACAACTAATAAGGGGCAGACCTGGTACCTAATCTGGGCGGTCTGAAGTTAAAGCAGGCTGCACTTCTAACCCCCAAAATGGATGTCCTCCTTTCTACTGATAGAGAAAGATATTTATATATGTGTGTGTGTGTGTGTGTATGTATATATACAATGAAAAAATTTATCTATAGCATTATATATCTTTAGTATGACATTATATATAAAATGAAATACATATATATAATGAAAAAACAGTTCAGAACTGAATGTATAGGATGCTGTCATTTGTGTCTTAAATTCCTTTAAAAGCAACAGCACACACTGAAAGGATACAAAAGAAACATAACAGTGGCTTCTTACAAGGAGGGAATGGATGACCCTTTACCTTTCAGTTATATCTTTCTCTCTTTTGTGTGTTTTAATAATAGTCATGTAGATATACTTTTAACTAAGTAAGTATATCTGATATTTTGAAATGTAACAATTAATGAAGACTAAGTTGAAGTCATGAGTCACAAATGCTTTGTTCATCCCTGCTTACATACCTTAGTATAGGGTCCCCCTTATCCTAATTACCCTGACTTTAATCCTACCTATCAGTTCATAGTAACAGCTCTCTTCAAAAGTCACTTTCTCTGGAGTTCATTGTTTACCTGATCTCACTTTGAATACTTAAGTTTTTGATCGACACAGCACCTCAAATTTGTATATTATCCCTTGAAATTATGTACATTTTCTGTTGTTTCCCAAAGGATTTGGAACTGCTTACTGTAAGATACAATTAAAATTATATAGGTTAATATAGTTCTGCAGTTAAGCAGTAAGGTTAACTTTTAGTTTCCTGGAAGAAGGCCAAAAAAAAAAATTCTGAGTTTTGTAGTTCTTGTGACACATCATTTTGTTTTCTTTAAAAAGACAAAACCACTTTTTTTTTCTACTCTGAATTTTGAGGAAGAAAATCTGTTTCATAGGCCTTTTTATGCAATTTATACTTTTCCGGTTGTTTCTTGTTTGTTGTTTTTGTCTACCCAACTAAATTATAAGCCTCCTTAGGACAAATTCCATTTGCTATACTATTTTTGTTCCATCACTGCCTAGAAAACATGCACTTACTATTGCGGTTGAAATTATAAATTAAGCAACAACTGCAACCCAGCCACATGTCAAAGATTATGTTACTACCACTTTTCAAAGACTTAATCTTTGAGCAGTTTAGAAATTGATACTACTTTCATCCTTCTCAGCAGAGAATCTTCTCTAACAGCCCTCAAAAAAAAAAATCACAATTTATTTCTCAGTGTATAGCTTTTACTGAGTTCTTTCGTAGCCTAGCTGAGTAGTATATAGCATAAAGAATTAGAGATTTGTTTGATTTTTGTTTCATGACAGTTAAATCTTTTTAAAATATGGCCTATAGCTTTCAACCCCCTTTTCCTTTCTCATAGGCCAGGTTATCAAGGCATGGGACATTGGTGTGGCTACCATGAAGAAAGGAGAGATGTGCCATTTACTCTGCAAACCAGAATATGCATATGGCTCTGCTGGCAGTCTCCCCAAAATTCCCTCGAATGCAACTCTCTTTTTTGAGGCAAGTATGTGTGTGATATTGCCTTGTTAGCATCTGCTCCACTATAGTGCTGGCTCTGAAGCAATAGGCAGTGGAACAAGGAGCTAAGCTTGCTATTGAGAATCAGATCCAACTTATTTATTTTGGAGCTTGGCTTCTTGAATTGTTTCCCACAAACCCAAGGGGTGTGTGCCAGTGCTTTCTTAGAAACGTGTCTCTGGCACAAAACGGTCATAACCAAATAAATAAAAGACACCAGGCTTAGAAATGAAGGTTCTGGTCAGTGGTGTGAGTTATGACGTACTCAAAATTCACCAGAAGACAGGGTGGAAATGTGGGAGATAAATGTTGAAATATATCTAAATCAAGTTGTAAAGCTATTTTTGTATTACAAAGGTTTATAAATGTCACAGATCTCACTTCCTCATTAGAAGCAGTAGGTGGTGATAATATGTTATTCATCCTGTGTTGAATTATACATATTTGGCCAAAATAATTTATAAATTAAGAGGGCAAATGCCTAAACATTGTAACAAGATAAAATGTACCTTTGGTTGGTTGTAGGCCTGATTCATAAGATTTGCTCTTACATTTTAAGAAGGGGATTTCATGAATCCAGGGTGGAAAAGTAGTGGCCTCTAGAGTCAGACAAAACAGTTTTGAGCCAGCACTGTGTCACTCTGGCTTTTTGCCCACAAGGCAGTTTTCCTAGTACTTCCTGTCTGTCTTTGCACTGCAGCCCCACAGGATGCAGTCCTAGACATTATCGTTCTGTGAAGTTTCTTTCCAGGTATTAAAAAGTGCAGTGTTCTTTTTTTCCTCCTTTTCCAGTAACTAAGATGCACAGATAAATATAAAACAGTTTTACTTTGTAAAACGAAAGAATTGGTTGCTCTTGCCTTTAGGTATGTTACATTGGCTTTGATCAGTTATCAGCCAAATCCCTTTTCTCTTTCTAGATTGAGCTCCTTGATTTCAAAGGAGAGGATTTATTTGAAGATGGAGGCATTATCCGAAGAATTAAACGGAAAGGAGAAGGGTATTCAAACCCAAACGAAGGAGCGACAGTAGAAAGTAAGTATTGCTGCGAGAGGGAACTGGTCCTTAAAAGTTGGGTTCCATTTATGCAGATGAAATGGAGATTCATTTTTTAAAATCTGTTTATAGAAACAAATGTATTGAAAAAAAATATATATATATATCAAGAATAGTCTTTAATTCAACATTTATTTAATAATGACTTCATTTAGTAAATACATATTCACCCTGTGTGTGCCAGGTACTGTACCAGCCTCTACAAACTCAAAAAATGAATAAAAGATTGCCCCATCCGTCAAGGAATTCTTAGTCCAAGGACTCCTCGGTGTGCCAACAGCTATATTAGTTGCCTTACATATTTATTCATTTATTTCTTACAGACTTTTGAGGTATGATTAATTATCCCCAGGTGAGAAAACTGAGTTCAGAGAAGTTAACATAAATCAACCAAGGTTATAGAGTTACTACATAAAGCAGTAGATTGTAGTGCACTTCAGGGCTCTCAAACTCATCCCACTGGTTGCCATCAAGATAAAATCAGTTAATCATTTTAGTTAGATCAGAACTGGATAATAGTGTTTATTCTGTTCTATGTCAGGAGACCTAGACATGTTCTGTGCAAGTTCTGTTTTGTCATTTATTGAGTGACCTGAAGCTATTGCATTTTTCATTTGCCAAGTTGAAAGTAAGGACACTACTGAGGACTAGAATACTAATCACCCTCCCTCCCTCCCAGAGGGAGGGGTATGTACATGTGTGCCTTTGTGTACACTACTTGTCACTTGCCCATTTCCCCAGTGAGTGAGTGCTGGAGGACCAGAATCTTCTTTTTGTTTCCAGCATCACCTGTAGTGCCTTGCACACATTTAGTATTCAGTAAATGCTTTCTGCATGGATAAATGTTTGAAAGACGTCATTTACTGAGCTGAAGTACTTCAAAAGAGAGTTGTGAGAAAACATAAATACTTCCATTAAAAAAAAGTCACTAAAGAAGGATGGCAACATGAACTATTATAAAAAGCCTATTTAGAGTGAAGAGTTCATTTTAAAGAGTAAACTAGAATAGTTGATTTTCTCATCTTTAATGTTTGGGTATATTACTCTGAACCCATATTTCATTTTCACAAGTCTGGCAAATTAGTTCAAATTTTGTTTTGTTTTTTTTTTTTAATTGGAAACAGTTATAAAAAGTATCACTGTGCTGTTGTATTTGAAGTGTTTAGATGGTTGTCATTCATGATAAGTTTTAGAATAAATGAAGAAGAGCTTAGGTATATAATGTTGGAGGAATACCTAGACCAGAAGTCAGGAGATAGGATTCTGGCTTTGGCTGACTCTAAACAAACCCTGCCCCTCTGGCTTTAGCTTCTTTTTTATACAGTGATGCAGGGTAGACATCTTGATTTCTAAGGTCCTGCTAGCCCTGAACACTCAATGGTAGAATTCTAAATGTTTATGAATGTTATAGGAATGATAGAAAATTCTCTTCAGTGTATTAACAAGCACTTAAAAATCTTGTCCATAACATGTTTTTAAATTTTTATTGCAAAATTTCAAACATATTCAAAAGGAGAGTTTTTTCCCCTATGATACAGTGACTCCCCAGATTCAACAATTTATAACCTATATTTTAAAACTGGCAGTTTTTGTCAACTAAATTGAAAGAAACCTTTTCCCTGTCATAGGCAGTACCACAAAACTACCATCATAGAGTTAACTTTGGAGCAAGCTAAATAAATTAAATCAAATTTTGCTTGTGGTAATACTTTCAATGGGAGTAATTTTTTTAACTTTTTGTTTTGAAATAATTTCTCACTTACAGAAAAGTTGCAAAACTAGTACAGAGAATTTCCTTATATGCTTCACCCAGCTTCCCCTAATGTTGACATCTTACCTAACCACAGTACAGAAAAATTAACATTGATTCAATCGTATTAACTATTTCTTAGATCTTACTTGAATTTCACCAGTTGCCACACTGATGTCCTTTTTCCGGTACGCAATCAAATTCAGGATTCAACGTTGTAATTTAGTTGTCATGTCTCCTTAGCCTCCTCCAGTCCATGACAGTTTATCAGTCTTCTGTGTTTTTCATGACTTTAACACTTTTGAAGATAACTGGCCAATTTTTTTGTAGACTATCCCTCAATTTGGGTTTGTCTGATGTTTTCCCCTGGTTAGACTGAGGTAACGCATTTTTGGAAAAATACCACACAAGTGATGCTGTGCCCGTCTCAGTTCATCATTATCAGGAGGTACATGATGCTGACTTCTCGTTACTGGTGGTACTAACTCTGGTCACTTGGTTAAGGTGGAGTCTGCCGTGTTTCTCCACTGTAAAGTTACTGTTTTTCTCTTTGTAATTACTCGCTATCTCATTGGGAGAGAAATAATAGGAGACTATGGAAATATCTTCTTTTACATCAAATCTTCACACACTAATTTTAGCATTCATGAATGATTTTTGCATACAACAGTAATTACTCTGGTATTTGCCTAATGGTGACTTTTCTATTTCTACTGTTCCTTCTACACTTAATTGGAATTCTGTTGTAAGGAAGAGCTGCCTGTTCTCTCCTGTTTGTCTATGTCAGTACTGACCCATGGATATTACTGTTCTGTTGGTTATTATTCATTACTGCTCTTATTTATTTTTTGTTGCTCAGATTGTCCCAGATTTGGCCATTGGAACCCCCTGTCCTTTCAACATTGTTTTTTGAGCACTTTCTTACTTTTGGCACCACAGGATGCTCTAGGCTCATTTTTGTCATTTCCCTCCTCCAGGCCTAGAATCAGCCATTTCTCCAAGGAGCTCTGATTCCTTTTACTGGAGAATGGTATTTAGAAACCAAGATCTGAGTGGTAGGTATACTCATGCTATGGAATGTTATTGCTTCTAGAACCTCTTAACAGAGCTAGGAAATACTTGTACCTCAAGATGCATACATATACATATATATGTACTTTGATATTAGTCTGTGTATGTATATTAAAAATTATGAGTACATAGTGACACTTTAAGTTCCAGTTCAACACCACCCATTTGTTTTAACCTTCTCTCTGGTTCTTTGACTCTACTTTCTCCAACTCGAGAAATCTGGCTCTCATCATCCACAATATATTTGTTTGTTTGCTCCATTGTAGTATATACAGAAAGTAGTTTCAGAATTGCTAACCTGTATCCCTGTGAAAAACAAATTTCCTACGTAGGAAGTATCTGTGTATAGTTCCTTTTGTCATAGCCTAAAGCATGCATTGAAAGCCCTGTTTTCCACCTTAGGTTAGTTCTTTCATCCTCATTCCCTTCAATATGGTTATGTTATTCATTTGTAATATAGTTAAATTCATTTGTCGTGTTTGCCTTCCCTTTGGGGTTCCCCCCACAGTCTGGTTGGTTTCATTTCTTTATTTGTTTCTTGGGTTTATGAAACAAATTCTAAATAGATTCTAAACTATACAAAAAGATATACTCAGAAGTGTTATTCCCACCTTACCGCTACTAATTCCCATTTCCTGGTTATTTCTACTCTGTTCCTTCCTACTTCCTGTAGGTAACTAATCTCATTAGATTCTGGTTTCTTCTTCTTCTTTTTTTTTTTTTTTAAGAAAAGAGCAGATACATGTATTTTTTCTTATATCCTCTTCCTTTTTGCATGAAGAACAACATACTATGAATGGAATTTTTTAAATGTATTTGAATAATCCTTTATATAATTTTAGTTTTTCTGTTTTGAAATAAGAAAGGGCAACGACTGATTTTTTCGTCTCTCATCTTGTTAGATTGTACTTCTCTGGGAAATTTTAGAGTAAATGGCTTATTTTTACTTCTTCTCCCAAAAGCCCTTTTTGGTTTTTTGGAACAAATCAGTTTTATAAAAATGTATTGTATTGTCAGTTATCAAGGTTAAGGTGTCCTGCTTTCCCTCTTTGAAACCAGTTAGCTATGTGTGGGTGGAGGGCAGAAGGTGGACTTAAAAGTGGACCCTGCCAGAAGCCAAGGTCACCTTGTTCTTTGAAGTCTTCTCAGTCTTTACCAGTTTGCCTTTTTTTGTAGTATCACCCTTAGACTTAGATTCAAAACCAGGTAGAAATCCTAGAACTAAAGCCAGTCCTACAGTGAAAGAGAACTAAACACAGTGATCATCCATTATAACGTAATTATAGATACACAAGAGTCACCAAGTTTCTGTCACTTCTGTATAAAGGTACAGTGAGTAGTCAGGGGAGGGGACACATAGGCTTTGGAAGTGATAGACGTGAGCTTTGAATCTTGAAATCACTACTTGATTTTTCTATTGCTTTAGACAAGGCACTTAATCACCTTGAGCATCCAGTTTTGTCATCTGTAAAATGGTAATAATAATCTTTTACCCCCCCAGATTGTTGTGACAGTTAAATGAAGAAAGGTGCCTAGTACATGGTAGACACTTAATTTCTTTTTTTTTAACCTTCTGTATTATGTTTATATCTTTTGTTTTGCTTCCTTTAAATAGATTTAAAGGAAATAAATCCTTGACTTCTTCTCTTACATTCTGCATCCAGTTCACCAGCAAATCCTTTTGGCTCTACTGGGGCTGACCTAGAACCAGTGTTCAATTTGTCTTTGTCTTTAATAACAGTCTTCAGATTACTTATATATCTTCTTTTTTTAAAACATTTTTTATTGATTTATAATCATTTTATAATGTTGTGTCAAATTTTCAGTGTAGAGCACAATTTTTCAGTTATACATGAACACATATATATATTCATTGTCACACTGTTTTCTCTGTGAGCTACCATAAGATCTTGTATATATTTCCCTGTGCTATACAGTATAATCTTGTTTA